TGACCCAAGCTCTTCAGTAAGGAGAAAAAATTCCCCAGCACCAATCTGTGCAAATCCAAGGCCCTTTTAACCCGTTAGCCAGGATTAGGAAGGGCAGTGCTGCCCCAGATGGGATTGCACACACAAATGGTGTGCCTGTGCCTCAGGAGCCAGGGCTCAAATGGATACAACTGAGGGGCTGACAGACCCTTCCAAATCACAAAGAGCTGTGACCCCAGACACGCTGGCTCTGCCCCAGAGTCCTCTGCCTGATGCCCCTGCACTTACATCAGACTGTGAAGTTAAAGGTGTTTCACTGATGCCTCAGCCAAACACAGCAATGGCAAGTGGAAGCACAGAGCAGTTGCTCAACACTCAGACAAGAAGGGAAGCAGCAGCAGAAGGAATGGGAAGTGCACAGGTGGGAAAATGGAAAGCTGCACTGCTGGCAGTAAAAGAGAAAACAGATCTGTGTTGGTTCCTGTGCAGCCTGGGCTGGTGCCACACAGTGGTTGTGTCGGTGGGAAGCACTGGGTTGGCAAGGGAATGGAAAGGAGGCTTAGCAGAAGGAATTTGGGGTATGGTTGTTGTTACAGGCTCAGTCCCCACCAACCCACACAGACGGGTCAAAGCTCACGCCCAGGATAAAGCCTCACAGACTGACTGGAACAACCAGGTGGATCAGATGACAAACATTAAAAATTGATTAACTGGAAAATCCTGAGCACTGGTACCAACTGGGGGGGTGGCCACACTGTAAATTAGGGCAAACTGGACAGGAAGCTTTATTTTTTGCAGCACGAACTGGAGGCTGGCTACCGCCCAGAAAGATGTGCAAAGGCACCCCCACACAATGTCCCCAGTGCCAATTAAGGCTCGGGCAAAATCACCCAGACTTGGCACTACCTTGGCAAATCAAACCTAACGAGACACTCTGGTTATATTGTCCCTCTGGGGCTGTGGGGACACACTGACAGGGGTGGGGTGGGCTCTGGGCTGTCACTGCCACTGGGCTGATGCCAAAGCTGCTATTTCGGGACTCGGGAACTGGTTTTCCAGTCTCCCTGTCCCAGACTGCCCAAAGTGACAAGGAATCACAACCCAGCAGTGTGATGGCACAAGACTGGTCCAGGAAGGGGAGCAGCAAACGGGTTTTCCATGCACCTTATAACTCCCAAGCAAACGGGGTCGTGGAGCTGGGAATGGTTTGGTGAAAGGCTCCCTCAGGCCACACGAACCTGAGTGGGATAAAAGGCTCCCCTCTGTGTTGGATCAGACAAATAACCCACATGGACAATGGGTCGTCCTGTTCAGCCAGCTCCCTTGGGCCCCCTGCCCCTTGGATCAGCTCCAAAGGTAACGTGGAAGCCTCTCAGGACAACCTGCAGTGCCTGTGGGAATGGACACTGCCCTGGTTAAACACCTGTCGGGGCACCCTGGGCCACACAAACTGGTACAGCAACGAAAAGGACACTCAGAAAACGCCATCACTGTCCATGGTGATGTGATGAAAACACACCCTGGGCCACACAAACTGGTACAGCAACGAAAAGGACACTCAAAAAACGCCATCACTGTCCATGGTGATGTGATGAAAACACACCCTGGCCTGGAGCGAGTGACAGGGGGTGGAGAACAGATGGGAAGGGGGATGGACTCGCTTGGACCGTCCTCAGCTGCACATAATGTTACACCCTGTTGGTAAATGTTGTTGTCAATCAGAATGTGGTTCTTATTCATAATCACTGCACATATGAGTGTGATACCTAATCCAGCAAATGAGGATACTAACCACTCCAGGAATACATAAATTGAAATAATAACAGTGTTTCTTGCCAGAATCAATAGCTAATTCTATATGATGCTCTGTTTAATGTTGCTAACTAAATTCTAACTTTTTGTAATAGTTTTGTATGTAAAAGGGTAACGTGTGATTATAAGACAGCTAACACCCTCAAGGCTGAACCAAAGAGATTTGTCCAGTTATATTGGTCTGGGTGAGTAACATCAATCTCTGTGTAATAATTGTTTTCTTTTTGCTAGCTTTAATATAATTGCTTTAATATAATATCAATATTACATTAAATAATATAATATAATAAAATAATTAAACAATTTAATATAATATTAATATAATGTTAATATATTATTAATACAATGTTAATATAATATTTATATGTTTAATATATTTTTATATAATTTAATATAATCACTTTGATATAGTACACTATACTGTATGAGCAGTTTTAGCTTCTATACTGTGTAGTAAATAATTCTGATTAAGATCTTTTTGTCTAATAATTGATCATAATAAATGATTTATTTTTATATAAATATGTCTGGCTTGCCATCATTAATCCTGGGGGACAAAGTTGTACAAAGGTTCATTCACACCTCTGCAAAGGGGTTTGTTGAGGGGGTGTGTTCACGTCCTTCAAAGGCTCTAAAACAAAGTTCTCTCGTGACTACGTCCACATATAGTTGGAATAATTTTATAGGCAATGCTCCCGTCCCCGGGAGCTCGGTGGGTAACTCTGTACACCGTGAAAATTAACCTTTAGCACATATGGTGCTTCTTAATGATCCAATTGTCTCAGTGGGTGAGAAACGGGACCAAAAGGGAAAGACTGACAAGGAGCCCTCTCAGTCTGATTTTGGAATTCGATACATCCCTGGGCTGGGAAGGGGGACTCATCCATTTCCCGTGCAACATTTCCTTTTTGTTTAAAAATTCAGCCAAATCATAACAGATACAGAGCCTTCCGAGGCAGGACATGGAAGGTTAATACATATTTTACGATCTCAAACACGTATAAATCCTTGTATCGACTCCCAGGCTAAATTTAGTTGAATTCCCTGATTCCCAATTCCTTGAGACAAAGTTATGCCTCCATAAGATAAAAGCAAAAGCTTTACCCACACCATTCTTCCTTTTTTTTTTTTCCCCCCAGCAAAAAGACAAAATAAACCTAGCAAAAATCAAAGAATAAAATCCGACTAATATTTGGTCCTCAACAAGGTGATATTAAAAACACAAAAAAAGGCACCAAAATTAATAAATTGATAATACAGGCAATTCTGGGGGCAGTTAAAGGTTTCATCAGTTCCACACAGCTCGACATCATCTGTTAGAAGGTTCCTGTTAAACAAAAAGTGAAAGTTTTGCCTGCTGCAGGCCAGTTATTAAAAAGAAGGAGCAATCCATGCTGGTTTGGTACCACGAAAGAAACCCAAAAGTCAAAAGGGCCTGAGGCAGAGGGCCTCTCCCATCTCCCTGGCTCTCCTGGTTCATGGCACACAAATCCCTGGCTGGGTCCCCCTCGGGGCTGGCAGGACCCCAGTGTTGGGCTCCTGAGGGGGGTCACCCTCGGGGCTGCCCCGTGTCCTTGGACCTGCAGTGGGGCTGTGCTGGCGTCATTCCTGGGAAAATCAACCCTCAGGGGCCTCGGGGGGGCCGGGCTGGGCAGGTTCCCCCTGAGGGGCTCGAGTTTAACAGCCTGGACTTGGCACCTCTCAGGTGCAATCTCAACTTCTCTCTCATGAAGCCTTTGCTTCGCTGCTGTTCTCGCTTCCCCCACCTTTTCAGGGGGGCTCCTGCCTTTTCAGGGGGGTGTCCTGCCTTTTCAGGGGGGCTCCTGCCTTTTCAGGGGGGTGTCCTGCCTTTTCAGGGGGGCTCCTGCCTTTTCAGGGGGGCTCCTGCCTTTTCAGGGGGGTCTCCTCCCGTGAATTCCACGTCCTGAGGGAGTGAGGCTGCTTGTGAGAGTTCCACAAGTGCAGCCTGTGCTGGGGGTGAATGTTTGTACCCCTGTGGGCTCTGACAAAGGTGTCCTGCCCTCCCTTCCAGGCAAGCACCAGTCGAGCCTTGTCCTGTTTCCAGCAGGGAACCAAACAAGGCACATCTTTCTCATCTGGGGTTGCCATCCACGAGCAGGGCACCCTGAGTTTGAGTTCCCATTTCCACAAGGTTTGTCACAGCAGTGGTTAAAGGCACAGCAGTGGCATTTAACTGCCTGTAATGAACTGCCCAGACAGGAGAATTAGAGGGGGACTGTGAGACCCCCGCCACTGCCCAAGCACGTGGGTGGCTGTTGGGTTGTGGTGGTGGGTTCTGCAGCTCTCAGAGGAGCCAAATCAGCCACAGCTTTGGAAATTCCATTCCGTGCTGCAGCAAAACTCCAGCTCTGAGATGCCCCAGCAATCCCCAGCCAGGGGTTGCAGCAGCACACTGCAGTCTCTGGATTTCCTTAGGGTTAAGATCAGCAGACTTCACTTCTCGCCCAGGAGCCATAAACCCAGCTCAGCAGCCTGGCAGATAACACTTGCTCTGTTTACTCCAGTGATTTTAGGCAGATAACACTTGCTCTGTTTACTCCAGTGATTTTAACTCTTTGCTGCCCGGGTCACACACGGGGCTCCTCAGCCTCCCACACTGCATTAATACTGAACGTTACACTCCAGGACCTATTGGAAATTTTATTAATTGCTGGCCAGGACCAACTGGAGTCCAAATGTATAGGGTGCATCGAGAGGATTCCACTTGCTGGATTTCAGGCTCGCCTGATTTACTGGTAAACTTTGATCTTTGGGTTGCTGAGGCTGAGATTTGGCAGATGGCTCTGGGTTAGTGGCAGTTTAGTGACCCCACAACCATCAGTTCTAATGAAGGGTCGTAATGTCACTTCCTCGTCAGCAGATGTCAATGCAAACGTTACTGTCTCACTCTTTATCAGAACAAAAGACCCATTCACTCAACTCCTGCAGTGGACACGAAAATTCTGAGTTACAGGACTGTTTCTGACGATGTTACGGGTTCTCCATCCTGCAGTTTTTCCCATAAGATTTTCTCTCTCTCTCATGCGCATCCCAAAGCTCTGCCTGAACCTTTCCAACCCAACCAAACTGAGCAGCCCCTCTGCCTGCAGCCTCTTCTCCTTTTCCTCACCTAACTGATAGTCCTTGTTTGCCTCAGCCAGAGGTTTAGTTGATTGGCCCAGGAATTTTATACCTGAAGTGCAGGGCATTAAGTGCCAAAATCCTCTGCAGATCCGAGGGGCTGAACCCTCAACCTCCGTAAAATCACAACAGAGCTTTAAAACCATTTTCTCATTTACTTTTTTTTTTTTTTAAAGTAGCAGAAGCCTTTTCCTTCCCTTCTCCCCAGAGGGGTCGTACAAACCATCAGGCACCACAACCCCTCTCCTGCTCGGGCAGGACTCTGCAGATCGTCCTCCTGGAAGGAAATGAAAGTGTTTAATATAAATATTTATACGTAATGTTACTTAATATAAATAACATTAACATGAAAATTCAAACAGTCTCCTCCTGCTGTGTCCAAGTAGCAAACCAGGCCCAGGGGAAGCCTCCAGTTACAGACAGAACACAGCAATTCCTTGAGAACAATCACAACAGTTCTACCCATTCTTTTGCATTCTTCACCATCCACTTACCCGATAGAAACGTACACGTAGGAAAATGTGCTTTTAGAAATATTTTTTTAGAAACACACACGGAGCTACCGCCGCTACAAGCACAGGGATCTCACACACACCAAACCCGCGGGTCTGGAGAACCCGCTCCTGGTGTGGGATTTCCCCCTCACACCCCAACAACCCCTCCAAAGAGGGCCAAACAGCACGGGCCGGAGCTGAGGCGCCTCGGGATGCGGACGCCCCTGGATCCCTCTTTTTGAGGAGATCCCACGCGCACACAACAGCGACCTCAAGTGACCGACTCCTTCCCCGGGTGTTGTGTCTGGGCACCAACCGGCTCTTGGCTGCAAAAGAAACCCTCGAAGTGCCTTGAGGGAGTCACCAGGCGTTAAACACCGTCTGTAGCACACACAGAGCCCGGGGTTCTAAACAGTTTCCCTCTTAATCTTCTCGAATGCTTCAACTCTCCCATCAACCTTTTCTCTCTCTCTCTCCTAGGGTCAGTGAAGCCTCAGATCATCCCCAATGTTCCCAATTGCACAACCTCGGCCAAGAGCATCCCCTTTGCTGTGCTGGACGTGCTAAAAATAGTCATACCCCCCCCCTAACTTCAACTCCCTGCGTGGCTTACGAGGGATCCCAACCCCCTGCACGCCTTGGGCGAGCCCCCAAACCCCCATTTCCCCCCACGCTGCTCAGGCCACGCTCCCACACTCGACCCCCTGCAGGGACTCCCCCGACCCTACAAACTGCTGCACCTACGGAGGGGCTGAGGGAGTCGGAGCAGTTTGATAACAAACCCCGACCATTGGCGTTGAATCTGCTCAGGGAATTTTAACAATCCCTTTGGCTCCTCCCTGCTCCAAAGATCCCGGTGAGCTCACCCGGTGCCAGCAGGTGGGGGTTTGGAGCAGGGAGGCTCCAAAGCGGGTGGTCTGGGGCCTCACCTGGGTCGCCAAACCGCTAAAGAAACTTCCCTGTCCAACCATCCCGGAGCTGCTCCAGCAGCCACACCCACCCCACCCGAGCTGGGGCCGAGGCCCCTTCACACTGCCCCGGTCAGACCAGTTCCCCTCACCAGCTCAGTCCCAGCTTTCCCATCGCAGAGTCTCAGACGTCTCAGTCCTTGAAATGATTTAATCTTGATGCAATAACTAAGTAAAAAAAAAAAAAAACAGCTTGAGCTGGTGCCTCCGAGGAGGGACCCCGAACAAAGGAGCCCCTGAGCATTTATCCCCTCACAGTCTGAGCACGGGAAAGTCTGGAATGTTCGGCTCCTGCCGCCTCCGGAGGGTGCCTCACCTGGCTGTGCCCAAAGTCTGGAACGCTCAGCTCCCGCTGTCCCCGAGTGTCCCTCAGCTGGCCGGGCCACAGGTCCCGGGGCCCTTTGTTGCGCAAAGGGTCGGCAGGTCCCAGTCCCTCACCGGGGGCTCCCGCACAGAGTGTCCGCGGGCCCCTGTCCGTGTGTCCGTGTGTCCAAAGGGCACACTGCTGGATATGTTTGTCCGTGTGGGGTGAGGGGGGTGGGGGTGTGTGGGGTGGGTGGGTGTGTGTGTGTGTGGGGTGTATGGGTGGGTGTGGGGGGGGGTATGGGGTGGGTGGGTGTGTGGGGGTGTATGGGGGTGTGTGGGGTGGGTGGGTGTGTGTGAGGTGGGTGTATGGGGGTGCATGGGGGTGTGTGGGGTCGGTGGGGGTGTGTGGGGTTGGTGTATGGGGGTGTCTGTCCCTTCCCGCCCGTTATGTGCACGCGGGGCGGGGGTGGGGCACACTGTGGGCGTGACCTGCACGACACGCCCACTTATCGCCCCGCCCATCGAGGGCCCGGCGCGGCGGCGGGCGCTGATTGGCGGCGCGGGGGGGTGGGGGCGTGTCCGGGGGCGTGTCCAGGCCGGCGGTCCCGGGACTGTGCCCGGTCCTCGCCCCGGTCCCGCTCCCGTTCCCAGTCCCGCACCGCAGCGGTCCGGGATGGCGGCGCGAGCGGGCGAGCGGCGGATCCTGTGCGTGGGGCTGGTGTGCCTGGACATCATCAGCGTGGTGGAGACTTTCCCGGCCGAGGACTCCGACACCAGGTACCGCCAACGGGGGCGGCTCCACCGGTGCCTCCCGAGCCGGCCCCGCGCCCACCGCAGCCTCCTGTCCCCCGCAGGTGCGTGTCGCAGCGGTGGCAGCGGGGCGGGAACGCCTCCAACTCCTGCACGGTGCTGGCGCTGCTGGGAGCCCCCTGCGCCTTCATGGGCTCGCTGGCCCCCGGCCCCGCCGCCGAGTAAGTGGGGTGCGGGGACCCCCCCAGCACTGGGCACGGGGCCGACCCGCCCTGACACTCCACCGGCCTCTCCGTGTTACTCCACCGGCAGCCTCGACCCGCGGCGCGATGCCGTGGCCGCGGTCCCCCCGCTGCCCGCCTGCCCCCGCCGTCACCACCGGCGCCCGCCGGGGCACCCGCACCGTCCCGCTCCTCCCGGAGATGTGCGGGCCCCTCACCCCGCTCTCTGTCCCCCGAAGCTTCATCGCGGCGGATTTCCAGCGCCGGGGGGTGGACACGGCGCACATTGCCTGGCAGACCCGCGGGGACGTGCCCTGTGCCTGCTGCATCGTCAATGCCTCCAGCGGCTCCCGCACCATCGTCCTGCACGACACGTAAGGGCCCGGCACCTGCGGGCAGCCGGGCTGAGCCAGCTCGGGGTTACACAGGCGCGGGTCCCGCTGCCTGACTCCCTGTAGTCCCGCCAGTGGTCCCCGAAGCCCCCCGTTCACCGCCTGTGCCGCCGCCGGCATTGGCGGTGACATCCCCACATGGCCGCACGTTCTGGGGCGTGGGGCAGCGGGCACGGCCCCATGGGGACACCCGGCACCGCCACGGCACCTGCCCGGTGCCGGGCCGGTGCTCCCTCGGCCGTGCCGAAGGGTCAGGGGCTGTTGGGCATCGCTGAACCGCGGCCCCGGCCTGGCCACCGCTGCGCTGCCCTTCGAGTCGAGCTCAGGGTCCCAGATGCCATCAATTAATGATTCACCTGGGCAGTGTCACCCCTGGGACCTCTGTCCCGGCAGCGTGGGGCCCTGCACAGCCCCTGGCACTGCCCTTCGCCCCCGGCCGCGTGCCAGCCTGGGGGTCCCCTGCCCCACCTGGCGTCCGTCCCGCAGGAACCTGCCTGATGCGACGGCCCGAGACTTCGAGCGGGTCGACCTCTCCCAGTACAAGTGGATCCACTTCGAGGTGAGCCCGGGGCTCTGGGGATCCTTGGGGCTAGAGGGACCCCCGGGGCTGGAGGGGGATTCCCTGGGACTGTGGGTGAGCCCGGGGCTGGGGGGACCCCTCGGGCTGGGGAGCATCCCGAGAGGGCGGAGCATCCCGGGACTGGGGGGCCCCCGGGGCCGGCGAACCCCCGGCGGTGGCGGAGTCGTGCCCGTGCCCGCAGGCCCGGAACGCGGCGGAGCAGCAGGCGATGCTGGAGCGGGTGGAGCGGCACAACCGGGCGGCGGCACCGGGACAGCGGGTCCGGATCTCGGTGGAGGTGGAGAAGCCCCGGGAGGAGCTGCTGCCGCTGATGGGGCGGGGCCAAGTGGTGCGGGGCGGGGCCAAGACAAGGGGGCGGGACTTAAAGCTCATGGGTGGGGCCAAGGGGCGGCTGCACCCGGGGGCGGGGCCACGGGCGCTGGGGGTCGTGGTCCGGGCTCGAGGGGTGCAGGGGTGGGGTCTGGGGGTGTACCCAAGGTCTGGGGAGCACAGTCGGAGTCTGGGAGTGTGGTCAGAGCGTGGGGGTGCGATTGCGGTCTGGGGAGTGTAAGGGAGTCAGTCTGGGGGTGTAAGGGAGCTGGGGGTGTGATTGGGGTCTGGGGGTGTCGTCGGGATCTGGGGGTGTGACTGGGGTCTGGGGGCAGCGCTGGGATGCAGGCCCATCCCTGCCTGGCTGGGGGAGCCGGGGGCTGCCCCCCGCCCCAGCCCCTCTCGTGCAGGTGTTCATCAGCAAGGACCTGGCCCAGCACTTCGGGTACCGCTCGGCCCCTGAGGCGCTGCGGGGGCTGCGGGGGCGCATCCAGTCGGGGTATGGGGGGCGCATGGGGGGCCGGGAGGGCTGGGGAGTGCATGGTGAGCCCCACACACACTCCACACCCCCCCAGGGCCACGCTGATCTGCGCCTGGGCCGAGAAGGGGGCCGACGCCATGGGGCCCAACGGGGAGCTGGTGCACTCGGACGCCTTCCCCCCAGAGACCCTCGTGGACACACTGGGGGCCGGGGACACCTTCAATGCCGCTGTCATCTTCGCGCTCGCAGAAGGTGGGCACGGACACGGCACGGGCGCAGCGTGGCCATGGCTCAGCCTGGCACAGCTATGGCACAGCTGCGCTGCAGACACAGCACGGCCACGTCTCATCCTGGGCCCCGTCCCCAGGGAGGACCCTGCAGGATGCCCTCACCTTCGGCTGCCGGATCGCAGGCAGGAAATGCGGGATCCAGGGCTTCGATGGCATCATCTGAGCCTGTGCCTGGAGACCCCCTCACCACCCAGGAGCACCACGTATCCACTGCACGCAGCACCTCCCCCAATAAAGCTCCACGTGCCCCACAACAGCTATGCCCCCCCTGCCCTGGCCAGGGCCCCACTGCCCCAGGGGTGCACTGACCATGGCCAAGGCCACCAGCAGCCTCTATTTCTCTGTCTGATGCGTTACAGGGGAGACCACATGACCACAGTGCCCCAGCCCTCCAGCCCGGATGCAGGGTGGGGGGCACAGGGACGCCCCCGCCACTCTGTGCCACGAGCAGGTCAGGAAGCAGCCAGGGCGTTGCCCCACTCAGCCCTGCCCACAGCCCCCCACCATCTACCCCTCCCCAGAGTCCCTCCATGCTGGGGCTGCCTCCTCCTCAAGGGCTGCAGCCTCGGGAACTTCCTCTTCCTCAGACGCATCACTATTGTGGGCTTCAGCCTCGGGGGCTTCTTCTGCCTCCACAGCCTCAGCACTGGGGGATTCCACCTTGGGGGCTTCGTCCCCCTCCATGCCTCCATCCTCAGGGACTCCAGCCTGGGCGGCTCCAGTCTCAGGGGCTGCCTGCCCTGGGCTGCTCACCCCCAGGTGCCCCCTGAGCATCTCTGTGCCCTCCTCAGGCACAGCCTCAGACCCTGTTTGTGGCTCCGGGGAGGACTGCCCCAGGGGTCCCCGGCCCCGGTCAGGTGACAGCAGCTCGTGGGGGTCCAGCAGCCCATCCCCATTGCGGTCCTGCCTCGCCAGGGCTCGGTCCACCAGAGCAGCCACCTGCAGGGACAGGGCATGGGGGTGAGGGCCCGGCCTGGGGGCTCTGTGGGGTGCGAGGGACCATCCCTGTGGGACCCACCGTGTCGGGGTCCGGCCACCCCCCGGCCTGTGCCAGCACAGTGCCCAGCAGCTGCAGCAGCTCCAGCCCATCCAGGTGCCCACTCCGGTCATGGTCATGGAGCACGGCGAGGTAGAGCAGGGCTGTGGGGCACAGAGGCACCGTGGGGCTGGGGTCCCTGACCCCACCAGCCCCTCAGCCCCCCATCACACCACATGGCCTCACCCTGCTCCAGTGGCATGGCCTCCACATCCTGCTCCGGCAGCCCCAGGCTCCGCACCGCGCCCCGCAGCAGCCTGGGGGGAGCAGGGACAGGGGTGGGCAACACCGCCCATGCCCCATGGCCCACCCTGTCCCATGAGCAGGTGGGCACTGCCCGGGTCCCCCACCCATTGCTGTCCCCCCGTCAATGCACAGCCCCAGCCGGGGTGGGGTCCCGGTGTCATGGGGCTCTTCAGGGCAGGGACTCACGGCAGCAGCGGCAACTCCGGGCTCAGCAGGTCGGGATACGCTTCCAGGATCGTGGCCAGGGGGGGCTCAGGCCTGGCCAGGAGACGGGGGGTTACCTGTGACCCTGGAGGGGCTGCCCGTGCTGGCCTGACATCCCCCTAACCATGGCCCCCACAGTCCCCTTAGTCCCACCCCTCACTGGGCACCCCCGGACCCCTGTGCCCACCCACAGCCACATACCACCTCTATATCTGTGGCCCCCTCATGCCCAGGTGCCCATCGGCCCCCATGCACCCCATCCGCACCTGTGCCCCCACACCCATATGAACCCCCACGTCTCTGCCTGCCCTTAACTATGTCCCCCCATTCTTCTGCCCTCCATCTGTGCCTGCCACACCTGTACCTCACACTTGTACCCACCTACCTGTGCCCCCCACACCTCTACCCTCCATACCTGTTCCCCCACACCCATACCTTCCATACCCTCCATACCTGTGCCCCCTATACCTGTACCCCCATATCTGTGCCCCCACACCTTACCCCCATACCCTCCATTCCTGTACCCCCATACCCCCCACACCTTACCCCCATACCCCCCCTACCTGTACCCCCATACCTGTGCCCCCACACCTTACCCCCATACCCTCCATACCTGTGTCCCCACACCTGTACCCCCATACCCATACCCCCATACCTGTGCCCCTACGCCTGTACTCCCGTACCTGTACCGTCCATACCTGTGCTCGCACACCCGTACCCTCCATACCTGTGCCCCCCACCCCTGTACCTCATACCTGTACCCCCCTACCTGTGCCCCCCCGCCCTGGGGGCGGCCCCTGCCACCGGCCCCAGCAGCAGCAGCACGGTCAGTGTCACCGGTGGGTTCCTCATCCCGCCACCTCGGGCTGCAGTGGAACGAGAGTGGCGGGGTCGGGGGCGCCTCTGGGCGGGTCGGGGTCCCGGGGCCGTGGGAAGCCGGCCGTAGGAGAGGGGCGGGGGCTCCGGGAGCTGCCCCGTCCCAGCGCGGCGGGGACACGCTGGCACGGACGGGAGGGCGCACAGGACAGCGGCGCGCACGGGACCGGCTGGCGCTGCTCACCCAGTGCGCGCCCCCCAACACCCCCAGCCCGGTGCCCCCGGTGCCCACTCACCCAGCCCCGCTCGCCTCTCGGTGCCGCCCGCCCCGCGCTGGGGCCACGTAGCCGCCACGTCCCGGCTCCGCCACCGGGCCCAGGAGCGGCCCCGCCCGCCCCGGGCCCTGCCCTGCCCTGCCCGGGGGGGTTCGGCACCATGCGGGACGTCCCGGGGCAGCTCCGGGGCAACCAGGATCCGGCGCTTCTCAACCGGGGCCGGGGCCGGGCGGGGCGGCGAGATGCGGGCGTGGTCACAGCACGGGCGGGGCCGTCCCGGTGGGTGAGACCCCCCTAAACTCCCCAGGGCCCCAGGTACAGCCGGGCCAGCCCACCATTGACCCCTGGACCCCCACACCAGCACCACCGAGGGCCTGGGTCAGCCAGTGCCAGCACCTGCTCGCCGTGGGGGGCTCCAGGAAGGCCCCCCGAGGGCACGGCCAGGCCCCCCCGAGGGCACACACTCTCCCGGACCGTGACAGTGACACGCGCCCAGCCCGGCCCCACTCCCCCGGCACAGACACAGCACTGCCTTCATGCTCCAGTTTAATGGCCATAGTGGGGCAGGGGGCCAGCAGGACGCCCTCCTTCTGGGGCAGGGGACCCCCGTGTCCGGCAGGCCCCCTGTCCCAGGGCTGGCCCCGCACCGCTGCCAGCACAGTCCCGGTGGGCCGGGCCCCGGGCGGCTCCCCGGCCCCTCCTGCGCTCCCCGAACACCAGCGGGGGGGTGGGGCCGGGGCTGGTCCCTTTTCTGTTTCACAGTCTGTGGGGAGGGGGTGTCGAGGCCGAGGGGTTGCTCCTGGCACCGAGGGGTCCCCTCCAGGGGCTGGGGGGCTACAGGAAGCCCGGGAAGGCAAGCTGCAGCAGCAGGATGGTGGCCACGATGAGCCCGGCACAGAGCAGCAGCAGCAGCCAGACCGGGAGGGAGCCTGTGGGGCAGAGACGGGTGAAGGGGGGCTGCAGCCCCCCCATGCCGCGAGAGGGGCAGAGGCACCCCAGCCCCCAGGCAGCCCCCCAGCAGCCCCAGGACGTACGCCGGGTGGGCAGCAGGTGCAGCTTGCAGCGGCTGTCCACGGCCACGCTGAGCAGGGCGGCCTCGTGGCCCCCCAGCAGCTCCCGCCCGGGCTGGCTCTCGGGGACAAAGGCCACGTCGGTCACCACGATGCCGTGGGCCTCCTTCACGTAGTACAGCCTCTGGGGGCACAGGGGGGTGAGAGGCCAGCTGGGGGGCACTGGAGCTGCCCCACCCCCTGCCCCAGCTCACCTGCAGCGAGAAGGCGATGTGGATGGCCACGGAGCCCGTCACTGTGCCCAGCCCCAGGAAAGTGCCCGAATCACTGCGGGGAGAGGGCAGTGAGCTGGGGCTGCCACAGCCCCCCTCCTCCCCCAGGCCCTGGGGTACCTGATGGAGAGGCAGGAGATGACCTCGGAGCCGCAGGGCCGTGTCAGCAGCGGCAGGAAGTTCTTCCCGTCCCACTTGGTCAGGTAGCAGGGCGGGGGGCGGCGCTCCCGCTTGTGGGGCACCTGCACCGTGTAGAGCCGTAGTGCCCCAGCACTGTCCTCCACCGCCCCGAACCTGCCAGGGGACAGTGGGCATGGGGCACGGGGGGCACGGGGCTCAGGGGGCACGGGGGGCACAGGGCACAGGCTGTGGCTCTCCTGGCATCCAGCCCCCTCCCCAGTAGAGCAGTAGAGCCCAGGGAACCCCTCCCTGCAGACCCAACCGGGACAGGGCTCAGTACAAGGCAGCAGCTGAGGGTAGCCCATCCCTAGCACTGGTGGCCCATTTCCAGCCCCCTGCTCCATCCCCAGCCCCAGTGATCTGTTCCCAGCTCCCTGCCCCATTCCCATCCCCAGTGATCTGTTCCCAGCTCCCTGCCCCATCCCCAGTCCCAGTGATCTGTTCCCAGCCCCCTGCCCCATTCCCATCCCCAGTGGTCTGTTCCCAGCCCCCTGCCCCAGCCCCAGCCCTCACCGGCAGGCCTGGTAGCGATAGGCCTTGTCGGGGATGCCGGGCAGGTTCTCGTGCCAGCGCAGCCCCGTCACCAGCTGGTCCTGCTGCCACACGCAGCACTGGAAGTCCCTCCCTGCCGTCACCACCTGCCACACACAGCACAGGGGTCAGACGCTGCTCTTCTGCAGGGCCAAGGGGCCGCAGGGCTGCCTGACACTCACCTTGTTGTCAGGGCCGAGTGCAATGTCCTCGATCTCCCCATCGTGGGCTTTGAACTCCAGCATCTTCTTCATGCTGGGGAACTGCAGGGGCAGAGCCGGTGAGGGCGCTGGGCAGGGGCTGGGCCCCGCTGCAGCCCCGGGCAGGTGTGGGGGGAATCAGTTAGGGAACTGATGCTGATCCAGCCATCCCTGCCCGACACGTGCTGCCACCAGCACGGCAGTGCCGGCCTCCGCTTCCCTGTGCCAGCCCCTGCACCCACCTCCCTTTGCCTGTGCCCCCCTTGGCTCCCCCATGTCCCCCCAGCTTTCTGCGCCTGCCCTGGCTCCCCGTGCCCCCTCTGCTCCCCTACGCCCAACTCCACCGTCCTGTGCCCCCTGGCCCCCCCGCCCACCACAGCTTGCCCCGTGCCCACCTCCCAGAGGCGCAGGAAGCCGTCGGCACCGCCGGTGGCCAGCAGGGCGCCGTCGCTGCTGAAGCGCACGGCCTTCTGCAGGGCGTCGGCGCTGGTGTCGGTGCGCACGCGGTGCAGGCTCTCCACCCTCACCTCGCGGGGCCGGCCCTGCGTGTCCCCCGGGGCCCCCCCGCCGGGGCCGCGCCGCCGCCGCACGCCCTTGTCCCCCCCGCCTGCAACCGGGACACGGGGCTGGCAGGGCGGGCACGGGGGGCACAGGGGGGCAGTGCCCGTCCCCACAGCACCCCACACGCCGTCCCACGGCACCCAGGGCAGCTCCCGTACCCAAAGGCCCCACAACACCCAGGGTGGGCACAGGGAGGGATCCAGGGGGGTTCCAGGGCACTGCCCATCCCCAAAACACTCCCCAGCCCCCCACACCCTGCCCACAGCACCTGAGATGGGACCAGGAAGGGGTCCAGGGAAGGCACAGTGGAGTTCCAGGGCAGTGTCCCATCCCCAGAGCTCCCCATGGCACCCAGGGCAAGCACAGGGAGGCAAGTCCAGGACAGACATGAAGGGGTCCAGGGCAGTGCCCCATCCCCAAGCACTCCACAGACCCCCAGCTCCCCATATCCCGCCCCACTGCACCCAAGGTAAGCAGGGAGAGTGGGATCCAGGGCGGGCATGGGGGTGTCCACAGAACACCTCATCTCCAAAACACTACCCAGCCCTCCACACGGCACCCAGGGCAGGCATGAGGGGGCAGTCCAGGGCAGTGCCCGTCCCCACATCCCCCTCGCCCCAGGGCAGGTGCCCCACGCCGCCCCCGGTGACTCGGGCTCTCACCGCCGCGCCCGGCGGTGCCCGGGCCCTCGGGCTCCTGCAGGGTGAAGCGCAGGATGTGGCAGCTGTTGTCCTGCCCGGCGGCGATCACGTCCCCGGCCAGCGCCATGGTCATGGTGGCGCGGGTCTCGGTGTCGTGGCAGTGCAGCAGCGACGCGCTGAGCTGCCCCCCGATCTGCTCCAGCTGCAGGAAGTGCTGCGGGGCGGGGGTGGCTCAGCCGCGGCCCCCGCCGGGCTCTGGGGGGGTTCCCTCTGGGCCTCCCCGTGAGCCGGGCCACCCAAATCCCGCAGCCCCCGCTCGCTCAGACCTGCCCCCCCACACACACACCCGGGTCCCCCGGCCCCTCAGACCCCCCCGGCGCTCAAACCTCCCCCCCCCGCGCTGCAGCCTGGCCCCCCCGGCCCCCCGCTCAGACCTGCCCCCCCAGAGCCCTCGCCTGCCCCCGTACCACGCCATTGCGGATGCCGGTCTTGGCGGCGCCGCCGCCGCCGGCGGTGATGGCGAGCGCCCGGCGCGGGTGGAGGCGGACGGTGTAGAGCGGGAACGGCGCCCGGTACAGCTCCGGGGGGCGCCGGGGCGCCATCGCAGCGCCGTGACGTCACCACGCCGGTACGTCAGCGCACCGGCACGTCAGCACGCCCCGCCCCGCGAAAATGGGGGCGGGGCCAGGAGGGGTGGGGTCACCAAAGGGGCGGGGGCTCGAGGGTCACGTGCCCAACCCGGTTCGGGGGCCAGCGGAGACACCCCCGGTGCCTCGGGGGGCCCTGGGGGTCAGTGGGGACCCCCAGCGCTCATGGCAGCAGGGGTCCTCTGTCCCTCATGGGCTCCTGGGGCACAGTGCAGACACCCACTGCTTGAGGAGACAGGAGTCCCGTCAGGTCCCAGGCGACAGTGCGGCCCCTCCCCAGGGGAAATGGGGGCCCGTGGCCCCATGGGCTCTTGGGGGGCAGTGGGGACAACACAGTGTTTGGGGAGACGGTGTTCCCATGGGATCCCGTGGGGACTCCCAGTGCTTGAGGGGTTCTGAGGTACAGTGAGACCCCCCACTGATCAGGGAAATGAGGACTTGTGGGTTCTTGAGGGACAGTGGGGATACCCCAATGTTTGGAGAGATGAGGGGCCAGGGTTACAGCAGGGAGGGGGTGGTTCCTGAGGACCCTCTGACAGCTGTGCTCCAGAACCATTTATTGGGGGGACATTGAACACAGAGACGATTGACAGGGCCTTGGGGGGTGTGCTCTGCACCCCGAGGGGTCCAGGCAGCCCCCAGAGCAGAGCGGTGTGTAAGGCACATGGCCAGGCCGGGGGCACTGGGCAGCATCCCGACCTGCGTGGGGGGCACCGCTCTGACACCCCCCAGACATGGTCCCAGAGCCCCCCTGGGGGGCAGCCCACTGGCCCCCCACCAGGGACCCCACACCCCACTATTTGGCACTCTCTAACCGTCTGTGGGTGCCCCACTGGGGCTTTGAGCCCCCCGGCCTGGGGGGGTGGCCAAGATCCCCACGCCAGGGGGGTCAGAAGGAGGTTTCCTGCACGGCGTAGGAGGGGGCCGTGGCACTGCGGATGTACCCCTGTCCTTCCTCCTCCTCCTCCTCCCGCTGCCCGGGGCCGGGGGGGCCCAGGCCGTTGGGAATCCCATTGCTCTTCTCTGTGGCATCTGCATGGCCAGGGGTCTGTGGGGACAGAGCAGGGAGCAGGGGGGGCACAGTGGGGGGCAGCAGGGGTGGGGGACACCCACCCCATGTCCCCCTTCCCCCAAGGTGCTGGGGGTCTGTTCCTCACCTGGGCGGGGTCTCCCCCCCCGCAGCAGAGCCGCTGCCGGATTGTGGGGGACAGGCAGCAGAGCAGCCGGGGCACCACGGGGGAGATGGTGCGGGGGTCCAGGGCCTCTGGTGGCGTGGGGCCTGGGGGGCAGAGGGGTTGAGCGGGGCCGGGGGGATCATGGTGGCCCCCCCACTACCACACACTCACCAGTGAGCAGGCTGACAAGGACCCCCACCACGATGACCGTGGTGGAGTTGTGGGCGCT